GGCTGTAAAAGCTAATCTGGTTGGCGATCATGCTTTATTCGAATTATCTGCGTGATCGTGCAACTGCCATGATTGTTATGGTCAATGTGGAAATATTCGTCATACGGGCATGTTATACTTCTGGCTTGATGCGATGCACAAAAACATGTTCTTCCACATACGCAGCAGTTCTTGCTTCAAAGACTTATATGCTGACGGTGCACGATAGGTATACCTTATACCTCATGCATTTACCACATCCATTCGAAAATATGCACTTGACATTGTCTCCAGTCAATAGTATTAATTACATACTACGTGATGTAGGTACGTGACCGTCACGGGCGTAGGAACGTCATTAAAAGTGGGTGGGCCACCCTGTCAAGGGGCCTCCTTTTCCAGGGGGCCTCCTATTTTCAGGGGCCTCCAACTTTTGCATCGTCCTGATGGCTGCTTTCAAGTATGACCTCCAAATCTAGCTTCAGAGATCGGGCAGATGTACCCAGTGGCGTAACCGCTTAAGCGAACAGTGCGGAAAGTCCGCACCATTTTTAAAACTTATTTCCCCTCCGATTTTTTTTAGAATCTATTTGCCGCAAACGGCGCATGACCCCTGAAAACCCTTACACAAATGTCTTCCTCGTTCCCAGGTGCCCCCATTAGCTTCATAGGCGCCCTCTTTGGCATATAAGCGCCCTATGTATAGTCATCAGAGACATCCCTATATGTCCCACACCCACAGTCGCGTCGCCCCGTTGTCGCATATACAACCTGTTATGGACACTTGAAGGCGCCTCTCTTTGCCACGCCGGTGCCCCTGTTTCTTATGAATGCACCCCCATGGCATTGATCAATTGCAGTCTGCAGACCTCTATTGCATGTGGACGCCCATATAGTAGGCCTCAGAGGCACCCCTCTTTCGCATTGAGGCACCCCTATGGGCTTCATAGGCGCTCCTCTATTGCACGTAGGTGCCCTACTGTCTCAGAACCGCTCCCCTTTGGCATGCAGACGCCCATCTTTCGACGGAGGAGCCGCCGTGGTTCTTAGAGACGGCATGTTGCTCCCAGACGCAGATGGGGCTCTCGGAGTCGACAGTGTGGGACCTTCAGTCGCTGATGAGTGCCCGCCAGATGTGGACCCTCGGAGACGCCGGTATGGGGCCCTCAGAGATGCCGGTATGTGGCCCTTAGAGACACCGGTGTGGAACCCTCAGATACTTCAGTGTGAAGCCCTTACAATTGCTGGTGTGGAGCTATGAATGCGCTGGCGAGGCCGGTACATGGGCATTAGAGCTCAGTGAGAGCTTGTGTGGTGCCTTCAGTGGCCTTGTGGAGCCGTTAGACATCAACATGGTGCTCTCAGGAGCCGGTGAGTCCTCAGAGTCACCGGTGTGGGGCCTTCAGAGCTCCGAGATACTGGTCTGGGGCCCTCAGAGGTGTCGGTGTGGGTCCTTCAGATGTAAGTATCTATAGAGCCTTGAGATGCACAGGTGTGGTGGCCCACAGAGGCGCCGGTGTGGGGCCCCCAGAGCCACCAATATAGGGCCCTAAGAGACACTAGTATGACCCTCAAAGGCGCCGCTGTGTGGCGCTCATAAACACTGGTGTGGAGCCATCACAGGCGGGTGGAGCCGTTAGAAGCCGGAAAGGGCCCTTAGATGCCTACAAGGAGCCTTCAGAAGCACGCGTGGCACCCTTATGGGGATAAGCGTGTCTACTTATGAGCCCTTGAGGTGCTCTCATGAGCTCTGTGGGGCCCTACCGAGCCGAAATATGGCCACGGCCAGTTGCCGCCGCATGGCACTTCGGACTATCATTCTCAGGGGCCTCATCTGCCTAGTTTGAATAGAAGGGCCTCTCAGACAATCAGTCTCATGGGCCTCCTCTGGCTAGTATAAATAGAAGGGCCTGTTAGACCATCAATCCTAGGGGCCTCTTCTGGTTAGTATAAATAGAAGAGTCTCTCAGACCATTAATCTCAGGGGGCTCCTGTGGACAGTATAAATAAAAGGGCCTCTCAGACCATCAGTCTCGGGGGCCTCCCTAGAAAAGTGTAAATGTGGATAGAGGGCCCCCTCAGATTCATTAGGAGTGGACCTCTCTGACTATCAGTCTCAGGGGCCTCTTGCGACCAGTATGAATATAAGAGCCTCTCAGACCATCGGTCTCAGGGGCCTCTTCTGACTAGTTTGGATAGAGGGCCCTCCCAGACCACCGGTTTCAGGGGCCTCCAGTGGCCAGTTATATGAACAGAAGGGCCTCACAGCCATCAGCCTCGGGGGCCTCTTCTGACTGGTGTGAATATGAGGGCCTCTCATACCATCAGTCTCAGGGGCCTCCTCTGCCTAGTGTGAATATAAGGGCTTCCCAGGCCATCAGTCTCAGGGGACTCTTCTGACTGGTGCCGGATTGAGGGACCTCCCAGACCGAAAGTTTTGGGGGTCTCCTGTGGCCAGTATGAATAGAAGGGCCTCTCAGTCCATCAGTCTCATGGGCCTCTTCTGCCTGGTGTGATTATAAGGGCCTCTCAGGTCATCAGTCTCAGGGGCCTCCTCTGACTACAGTGTAGATGGATAGGCCTCCCAGACCATCAGTCTCAGGGGCCTCTTCTGACTATTGAGGATAGAGGGGCCTCCTCTGACTAGTGAGGGTAGGGGGCCTCGGCTAGACCGCCAGTGTCAGGGGCCTATTCTGACTAGTGTGGATGGAGGGGCCTCCCAGACCACCAGTCTCAGACCTCTGACTAGTGTGGATAGAGGGGCCTCCCAGACCGCCAGTGTCAGGGGCCTCCCCAGACCAGTGTGGATATTGGGGCCTCCTCAGATCCACTAGGGCCTCTCAGGCCATCATTCTCAGGGGCTTCGACTGACAAGTATGAACAGAGGGCCTCCTGGATCCATCACGGCCCCTTGGAGTCCGTGCGTGGGGATTCGTGGAACTTATTTTTACCGAGTTTGCTTATTCTGGAAGGTGACGACGTCCTCTCAAATCGAGACGAGGGGCCTCGAGTAAAAAGTGGGTGGGCCAAAACACATGGTTGGCCCCCCCACCTCGAAAAGTGGGTGGGCACTTGCCCACCTGGCCCCCCCTGTTCCTACGCCTATGGTGACCGTAATAAATACTAATGATTCCAGAAACTTCCGAATGGATGTGGTGTATGCATTCATCGATTATATAACCCATCAGTATTTCGTTTCTTGTCAGCGCAAGCCTTTGAGCAATAACTGATGCCAGTCATGATTTTGTGCACCACTTCCAGCCAAAAAATGACCTGTCCGTATAGAAAATATTTCCTGAATCAGTATCGTGGCAATTGAAAACGAACGCGAATCGTAAGTTCTTAAGGTTATCAACGCAAACAAAGCGATTGTAAGGAAGAACAAGTTCGAACTGAGCGTTAGTACACTTACTTGTTGACAATTTGTAAACTAGCAATGCCCAGTCAAAGGCTAGTTCATCAACAAACCAGGGGTTGTTGAACCGACAAGGAAACGGCTATGCCTATCCAGAAGTTGGTAGGTTCACAAGGCCCAGACTAGTACTCAACAAGGTGACGCCTATGCGAATTGGAACCAAACTTGTAGACAAACTGTTAGTTTGTTGGCCAACACGCCTGGGGTTGGTGAATCGACAAGGTGACGCCTATGCGAATTGGAACCAAACTTGTAGACAAACTGTTAGTTTGTTGGCCAACAAGCCTGGGGCTGGTGAATCGACAAGGTGACGCCTATGCGAATTGGAACCAAACTTGTAGACAAACTGTTAGTTTGTTAGCCAACAAGCCTGGGGCTGGTGAATCGACAAGGTGACGCCTATGCGAATTGGAACCAAACTTGTAACAAGGAGCCAACTTGTAGATTTGGTTTACAGTGTAAAACAAAGCGAGCGTTATTACATCAAGTCTTATATAAGCTGGGGCCAAAGTATGGGATGTGGTCACCAAAAATAAAAGCAAGCAGGCGTGACTAAGCATTGGCGAGTTGTCAAGTACTTGACTAGTCAAGTACCTGAAATGTACCCAAGGCCAAGGTAGACTATCGTACCACACCCTCACATGGCAGACAGTGGGCTCAGAAGAGGCCTTGACCTTTGCTTCTTCGCTATAGGTTAATTGAGACTTTTCAAATTAGGTAAGCGGGACAAAAATGAAAATGAAAAATATGCGTATTTATGACCAAAACCTCCTATATGATATACAGACACCGATGATATTGTGATTGGTGAATGCATACATTACATATAGTCCCAAATGATACGGACAGTTGACATACTAAATTATCCCGAAACCTGCCAAGGGGGGAGACGGAGAGGGAACCGATGTCCCTCCATAATGTTTTTCGAAAACGACGGACGTAAGCGCCGTAGGCGATGATTGACGTGCACCTGCACAGGTATTATATAATTATAAGCCCTTTAATAACAACCGAATACCTAATAACCGTTTTCACGACGGCCATCTGGTACACATTTGGTGCACATCTGGTGCAGATTAGGTGCAGATTTGGTAAAATTAGGTTCCGTGTGTCTCTTAGTAGCTATCAGCTAGGGTTGCACTAATTGCTTATATGCCTGCTTTGTCATATTATCAGAGAGTATCATCGATTAAAATACTGAAATAAATTCATAAAATAAAGATACATATTTGCTGTAAAAGAGATTAGGTGCAGATTTGGTCAAATAAGGTGCACTCACCACTGAGTCACCAGATAGCCCGTGCACCCCGTGGTGAAAACGGCTATTGTTAACCAAAATAAGTACCGCAACAACCTTCACGGCATGTTCGCGCTGCACAAACTTGGATAAAGCTCGAGTGTTCTTTATCGAATTATCCGCGCTCCGTACGTGCATTATTCATGTTCATGGGTGGGTAATAGGCCGGCCACAGGAGCGTCTGTGTCGGCTGCATCACCTCAGTACCCCACGCGCCGCCCGGGGGCCAGTCCATTGATTTCCACCGGCGCAGGCGCAGTCGGTTTGTTGATGCCGGGACCACAGCATTCCTGTTCGAGCAGCGCTCGTGGACGGCGTGCGGTGGAAGGTTTCGCTGTGGAACGGCCGAGCGTGGACAAAGCCGGCGGCTGACTGTGGAATTTAGACGGACGGTGGAATTTAGATAGACGGTGGAGGTTAGACGGTGAACGCCGAGTAAGACGTTGGGAGCTAAACGGTTGGTAGACGTGAGTAACGCTGTGAGCAGCGGATAGTGAGAAGGGGGTGTGTGAGCCAGGTGGACGACACATCCCTCAGGCACCGTTCGGCGGACGGTGAACTGACCTCTGCCGCGGCGGTCGCGCGGGATGGATGTGAGTCACACGACGCGGAGACCAGCCGGCTAAAATGGGTGTCATTACGGAGCGGGTCTCCCGCAGCCGCAGCGGGGACCGCACCAAGCCCGGCTCGCGCGGCTCCACCGGAGACAGGGTGCGCCGCTCGGCCACCTTCAGCGGCGAGAGCACGCTGCCCGGGTCACGCGGCAGGTGAGCGCTAGTCGGCAGGCCGCGCAGGACGGCGAATGTGCAAACTCTGACTGACTGTCTGACGGGGAAGGGTGAAATATTTGGATCACGAATCATTGTTTGCACTATAATATTCAATACTCAAACATACCTAAAAGCAATTATGTACGGCATGCGGTGGTTAGACGACACATGATTTTCGCACCTTTCACTTCTTAAAATCTTTATATTCCTTTTAAAAAATGACTTATTCGGAGAATGATTTCAAAAAAGAAAGCAAAATCCGTTTATAGAAGTTTGGTTCTATTCTTATATGCTTCAGGTCTAAGGATTTGGAGAAGATAAGGCGCATTTTAATTTCCCCGTTGATTTTGGTGTTTTATAAGTGTTCTATATTTGTTGATGAAATTCAGTACCTACAACGTTTACTGGCCACTAAGTAACAAGCTAGTACAGTTAATTTAAACAATATGCCTGTGACATTTATAAAAAAAAGAAAAGAAATTAGGCGTGCATTTTCTTCTACGGCTAATAAAAACGTGCCAGTTTTTAAGCAGTTAGCATTTTAATTTTAAAGCAGATGAAATAGCTGTCACGATCGATCTAAGCGCGGGGGACAACCGTTTCGTCTTTTCCATCCTCGGGATAGTCAAATCCACACTTCTCATCCACACTTCAACCCCCTGCTCCGGGCTGCACGGGCAACTCTATCCCATGCGGGAAGCTCCCGTAGGAGCACGCCCGTAGCCGGATGCAGTGAGTGTTTGGGAGCTGGTGGCCCGTCTACTGGATGGACTCAGTCCCGAGACTCACTTATGTGCCTGCCCAGACCAATGTCACCCCCTACTTTCTATCATCCTTCCGGCTCTGAAACGGTCTCGTCAGACCGAAAGAGTCTAACCCAACAAAACAAGCAAAGAAAGAAGCGCAGGGCAGTCTTGATTGATCATTTTATAGGCGAGTTAAAATGATGCTGCAGCTCGCCTTTTTGAAGTGTCGAGCTGACCTACCAGACAGTTTGCTCGGAAAGATTTTGCGTCATGTTTTACGTGCATCATCTGATTTTATGTGTCATGCTGCGGTATGAACGGGCGAAATGCATTTATCGACCGATGATAGACCACACCAGTCGCTTCCAGAATAAACTGGAGCTCATCGACTGCCGGAGCGAATCACTCTCACATTCGCCCCAAAATGACAGTTACATGCACGCATATATTGCTACGTGTCACGTGATCATTGCCTCATTATTGCTTGTGCGGTGTGCCATTAATTTCATTTACTAAATACTCGCATATTGATATAGTTTGTCACATAAAGCTGAAAGTGAATACAGTAGAATCCGCTTAATAAATCCTCGGATGATAAATCCAGCCGCTTATTGTGGCCACTTGAGCTGTTCACGGATTTCTCCATAGAAGTATTAATGACTCCGATTAATAAAACCACCACTTAATAGATCCAAAACGCCGTGTCACCAAGGAAGATTTACTAAGCGAGTTCTGCTGTATCTGTTAAAATGAGACTGGCGTTTCTCATTTTGCACTATGTTATGTGGCTAATATTTATTACGTTTTTCAGCAATCGCGGCAGTGCCAACTCCCTAAACAAGTCTCACAATGGCTCTCTGGGCAGCCTGGACGACTTTGACGACTGCGACAACATCAACGTGGTCGTCAGGTGGGTGTGTTTATACCTACCTACTGCCTGCAGATCCGTGACACAAAGTCGCTCCTGTCGAGACCCTAATTACAGGGCAGCACTGCGTGAGCAGTTAGTTGGTTACTGCACTAATGGAATCAGTCCACACCCTCTGGCTATTCGTAAATATTCGTGTGAACAGTCAACACCACCAGAAGGTTTCGGTTATTGAATATTTAATTACCAGTTGTCGGTTTTCCCTGAATTGGAAAACAAAGGCATTTGAATTTGAAAAATAAAAGGAATTTATCGGCGCGATTTCAAAGTCACGCCTGTCTGAAATTGTTTGAATGTTCGCGTTTTTTTTTAATAAGGTAATGAAATTCAGCATGTACGCCAAATTGTTGAATCGATTTAGTTGAAACATAATTTCAGATGTCGCATGAAGTTTTCGGGGGCATTAAATCAAGGACAGGTATTTCAAAAGCCTCGTTATGCCCAGAACCGTATTGGGTGCACTTGCGCCTACCTTTGCTTAAAGTTGTTATCTTCGGTATTGGTTTGGTAAATATGGTTAACAGTGCTATTTATTTCAGGGTACGGCCATTGAATGAGAAGGAACAAAATCGCGGCGAAGACAGCATCATCACCTTTCCCGGCCAGGGGCAGATGCTGGTAAGCGTCATCCTGCAGTTGGTAATCGATAGGTGGCCTGCCATTGACAATGGGTGCATAGGTTTGACTCCAACCTTCCGCCTGCCTATGGACCAACGAGTAATTACATAAATGTTAAGCTGCCTTAGAAGGTAGCATGTGCATAATTATAACCCTGATTTAAAATTGTCAACTATACATAGTTGAACGGGAACGGCTGCCTTCAGCCTTTCCCACTATTGTGGTATACACTGGCCGCCGTTCGGATACTATCCCGCATAGCACATGAAAGCATTGCGGCACAGTCTAACTCCTCATGGAAATACGCCTGAGCGAGTATATACCTACCTACTTTTGAGTTATGTAGTCTTGTGGGTAATGCGAAGTAGGAAGTGACGCAAGGGTCTTTTTACGTTGCTCATACCAGTTACATTACTTTTATAATGACTGTAGTTTTTTAGGCCTATCTTGTTCATAAACACACCCTGTGCTGTCCATTGAATGGCATTAAATGTGCAATTATCAATGCTTCACCTATGTAGTTGGTAACGAATTAAACTTTAACGGGTATATTTCGTTCGTTAATGAAATTTGTGTAACGATCAACGAAATTAATGGTTAAATGTCGATGGCTGTGAGTGATGACCTACTTTACAGCTCGACCAAGGCACCAACGCAAAGCCCAAATCGTTTACATATAACGTAATTCTGGGGACGGACGCGAATCAAGAGGACATGATAGAACGTTCAGGTAACGTGTAGGGACTCGTCCTGCCCATATCGAGGGTATCAGCCGCCGACAGACATTTAATGCAACATTTCCACGGGCTGTACCTTACCTACTGAACAGTTCCAACTCTCTGCAGGCGGCATTTTGCCTCAGCTGACTGACAATCATTATTTTATTTCTGTCAAAATTCGAATGATCCGGCCCGGCTGATATTCTCGTGTGCTGCATGGGTGAATCCATTGTCACACGTGAAGCCCGCCCATCACACGGGGCACCCACCCGCGCGCCGCGTGCCACGTGCCACGTGCCGGGCCGTCTGACTGTGTGGCTGTGCGTCGTTTGCAGCTGGAGCCACAGGCGGAGAACATCAAGGCCAAACAGTTCCGGTTCAATATTCTGTTTGAGCCGGAGGCCACTCAGGAGGACGTGCTCAGTCACTCGGGTTGGTAACTGCCGTCCCGTGGTTGTCCCCTAGCCGTACATACCTCGCCCCGCTCTGTACATTAGCGCAGAGGCAGCATGTGGCCGGACCGGACCGGTCGCCGGCCGGCTGGCTAGGTGTGTTCGGTGGTCTGTCTGCCGTCCCTTGCTCGCTGTCTGACCCGACTCACTTGCTTTGGCCGGCTGTTCGCACTGCCCCGCTGACCTCTGAGAGTCTCTGCAGGAGCTGGGAGCCGAGTCTCTGATATTCTCACTAACTGGTCTCCTGTCTTGCATTTCGTCGTGTACCATTTCAGTCCTATTGGCAGTCGCCTGTACTGTTACTATAGACTGAAAAGGTCTGCAGAGAGTGACGGAATTCTTCTTGTAATTTCTGTACTATTCACAGTTTGTAGATCATAGTCAAGGATTGTTGACGTGTAGTGCTCTTTACAGTTTACACCATGAATCATACTAACCAAGTTGTATTTTTGTACATATTCATACACTGATCTTTCATGCGTAGTAGTTATGCACGGCTATTCCAGAGCCCTATATAACTAACAATACCGAAATTTGATCGCACGACCTTATTCTGCAAAACTTGACTCGTGTGTTATGTGTCATAGTTACCGATTGACATGCGCTTATCTGAGTAGCAATGCCCAAAAAAAGTTCTCGCACATATGCTTAAAGTTTAAACCGTATCGTTTTCTGTGTTACGTCACAGTTTATTTAGCAGATTCAAAGGTTGACTCTGATATTACTGCAAGGTGCTTTTGCGATACAGGAGGATCAAAGAGCCCTATAGTCGAGTAAATATGCTGCCTTAGTTTGGATGTTTTCTCTGTCTGTTTGTTGCCTCTGCAGTGTCAGCTCACGTTCTGCGTAGTGACGTCACACCACTGTTTGCTGACGTCACGGTCCAGCAGTGCTGACCCCTGACCCGGACTGCCGCAGGCGCCAAACGGATGGTAGAGATGGCCGTGGAGGGCTACCCGTGCACAATATTCTGCTACGGTCAGACGGGCAGCGGGAAGACGCACACCCTGACCGGACCTCCTCATCTGGTGAGTGGGTCAACGAATGTCAGGTCACCGTGTGAGTCAGGTCACTGAGTGTGTCATGTCACTGAGTGAGCCAGGTCGCCGTGTGTGTCAGGTCACCGAGTGTGCTAGGTCACTGAGTGTCAGGTCACCGAATGCCAGGTCACTGAATACCAGGTCACCGAGTGAGACCCTGAATACATAAGCAAGTAAATACTTATCACAAACGGATTTTCCCACTCGCTTAGCACTCTAATTCGTTTGTAATAGGTACGAATTTCCTCTGCTCATGTTTTCGGGGCCATCGGGTGCATCAGGTGACCGAGTGTCACCACACAGTTTGCCGGGTCACCTTGCCGTGTGCTTGGTCACGGACGGGAATATGTCGGCTGCAGGATGCCACTGGAGCATGTTGTAGTGTGGACTTGAGGGCATAGTCGATTTTACAATCCAAGAGCGCAATTGGGAATAGGAAAGTCCGTTATAAAATAGGAAAGTCCGTTGTAAGAGAGGAAAGTCCGTTATCGCTGATGTAATATGCATGCGCTTTGTTGGCTACTCCCGATTGAAGATATTATTTCTTAATGTATATTTTAGATTTTTTTAATTTTACCTTTAGCATGGGTTCGACAGCAATATCGGTCCTACGGAACCCGCGTTATAAAATGCGCTGATTTCCTATCGTGAATCTACGGATTCTCCATACTTAGTCTGAGATATTCAGACTTGTAGTAGGGTTCCTAATTTTTTGCTCCATAGCTTGTGACTTGTTCTTTAAGAACAGGCCGTGTTATTGAGCATCTCGAGTGTGTGCGGTGCATATTGATTTTATCGATTGGTGCTGGAAGGAAGGGGTGGCGTCAGAGGCGGATCCAGCTCAGAGGTTTGGGGGGGGGGGCAAATCATAACAATTTATCGATTCTTTCCATGCATCGTCCATAGGCGTAATGTTAAAATTATGCCGTTTGGGGGGGGGGCAAATGCCCATTTTGCCCCCCCCTGGATCCGCCACTGGGTGGCGTGTTGCTTGCGTGACGAATGCGTTTGAGTCACGAATGAAATTTATGCTATGCATTTTTCCTTTGTCCGTAGAGCTTGCGTGTAACACGATACCATCTTTTGTGATCTTATATGGTGTTCACTTATCACTTCTTAACGACCTGAACATAATGTGTTAGCGTTTCACTTGCTTATTATTCTAATTCATTGGCTGCAATCACCGCAAAAAGTCCATTCAACTCGGTTTCTGCACAGATTGATAAGCAATCAGTGTTTATTCCCATCCCGATGACAGTCGCGCTACTTAACCTTATCTTGTTCTCGGTCCCAACAGTTTTACAACAAAGCTTACAACCGCAAATGGAAGCCGGAGGTGCGTCAAGTTACTTGTTTTATCCACTTTTCCAGAGCGCTTTCCCAGTGCGTTCCCTGCTTCGTTATATTGAAGTTGCGGCAATGTTTATACGTTCAAGGGCTGCATTCTCCTCGCCAGACCTAAAATACCCTTCTTGGCTTCCTATGCCCGCGCCTGACACCCATTCGCATTCAGCCATGTTTCGTGTAGTCATACATGGACATAAATTCGGTTCGTTGAACTTCAACTGATCTATGTTGTTGTGGATATGCATAGCACTAGCGCATCTGATAAAAAACTATGTAGGTATTCCTAAACATCTTTAGGTATACCCCATGATAGCCTTTACCGCACCACCTGAAGAGAGCTTGGCAGATTGCTACATAAACAGCAAAATGGCCATCAGGCGAGCTACGATTTTGTGGTAGACTATTCGTGACACTCGGCCCGATTCCATTTTCAACTCGCGATATATCATAGCATTTATCGCATGTTGCATGCTTAACGCATGGTTTACTTCATGCAATAGCCTAGAAATGCTTACTTTGCTTTTGGCTCGTGCCATGACCTGTATTCACCTTGCCTACAGTTTCTTCTATGATGCGTCTTTTCATGTCTACATAGTGTGCCTTTAGCTGTCGCCTTGATAATACATATGCGACGAAGTCGTGCTTCGTCAGAGACTTCCGATCATCACTGACGCGGCCGTGCAAACTATATTTGGAAATTTTGTTTACTTTAGGCAAACAGTGGTCCTGAATAATATAACGTTATGACTGCATGCAACATGATGGCATGTTTGAATTAAGGCTTAAGCTTGGCTCAGACGTAATCCCTTGACGCGACGCACGAAGTCAAGGTAGCGTCCTTGGCAGGATAATACGACTCGTAAATTCAGGCCAAGCATGGATAACTATCCATGGGCCAAGTACCTGCAGGCATAGCGTCTGATAGTCGCGGCTCAGTCGCTTGTCTACAATTGTTGTACTATAGCTAAAATATTTACCTAATACCTATTTGCACGAGGTGATCGATGTTTTAAACGTTAAATGGGGTACTTATTACATGGAATAGGCGATTATTTTCATCTTATTCTCATAGATTATCACGCGCACTTATACATTATTATTCAGTACGCATAACATGCGAACGACTGACGTCGCTTCCTGCAGCATTTTGCGTGCACTCTGGAAGATCCGTCCTTTGGGAACTATAACTGCACGCAGCATAACGCGGCACCGGCACCAAAGACAGGTACTTCGGTTAATGGTTAATGGTCAGGTGTTCATTACATGAGTGACGTCTGTTTTTTAGCACTAACGGCATCTATTTCCGCAGGGAAGTTGAAATGAAGTTTCAACCTATTATATATAGTTCAACTTTTCGATAGATTGAGACATAGGAGGGTCTATTGAGAGCCAACGATTTCTTTCGCTTCCCAAAGTCACGAAATCAGCCGGCCTCACAGGTGGCGGGGTAACGCTGCCAAACACAGCGGCACACACGGACCTTACCCGGCAGCACGGCGGCCTTTATTTTCCAGCGTGGTGACGTCACTGGTCCGTGTCACGTGACACCGCACGGTCAATACGTGACCAGCGGGCCCGGGTGACGGAGCCGAAATGACCGCCGGTAGAAAACCGTCTTGGCATGACGCCAAAAGTGACGACTTGTTCACACTTTCAAAACCCTAATGCTTGTGTAGACCGTACGACCCGTCCTTTTGCTACTTCTTAGCTATTGCAGGAAACCGATGTATGACGAATATATAAAACCATTTTATATAATAACCATGTATTTCTGGGTGACTTTCAGTTCAGGAAGGCACCCGACATGTACTCTGAAGACCACGGGCTCGTGTTTCGCTCCTTCGTTTACCTGTTTCAAGTAATCAACGAGCAAAAGGACAAGGACTTTCTCCTGAAGGCATCCTATCTAGAAATCTACAATGAAAAGGTAAAAGTGTATTGCATGGATAGCTTAGTTACGTTTTAACTTACCACGATTCACAATTAACACCATGATAAGCTTTATGTCAAGAACTATTGAAGCCTTACATATAGATCAGACCATAAGTTCCATTGTGATCAGTGATTTCAATAATCGGTCACATGGCTAGATACTACTTATAGTTTAACGCTTTCATTAATTAACCCGCGCCCGGCTGGGGGTCCTGGATTTCCACGCCCTGCTGGGGGGGGGGGGGGTGTTTGAACACCCCCCTTGTAACTCGGCTCCTGGGCCACGTAGCGATACGCGGAAGGCGGCGTTCGAAAGAGCGTCAAAAATAATGACGAAATCACTTCGGTCAATTTTTTGGTCAGGTCAAAGGTCAGGTCACCAGAGGTCATTGAAGGCAAAATTTCGCCGATTTCCAGGTCGAATATCGAAAATTTCCAAGAAGCCAACGCATAACTCGGGAACCAATAGAGCTACAGCGCCGCGGAAAAGCGCATTCGATAGCCCTATTAACGCCCTTTCTGAGTAATTCTCTCAGATTTGACCTTACGTCAACGGTTTTGCCTGCAGGGGGCAAAAACTGCAAAAATAGCCGATTTTTTTCGGAAACAGTTTTTCTGCAATAACTTTTGACCCAAGCCTTGTACGAGCTTACTTTTACCGGCATCGTGTTCCTCTCGTCAAGACGCATCGAATGAACTATAACTTGACCTTGAAAGGTCAACTTGAAAATTTGACCTCAGGTCAAGGTCATGACCTGACCGGAAAGGGTCATGTTGCATATCAGTCGATCCGTATCGTCGAGCTGAACACATCCAAGGCGTTTTCATCGCTCTAGCATGCCTATATCAAAAGTTATTTGCGAAAAACTGTTAGATACAATTCGTGACCTAAGATGACCTCAGGGCATAAACAAGGGTCACGGACACCATTTTCAAGCTCAGTGTGTCTAAACCACTTGTAATTCAGTGTTTGGGAGTGTTTATAATGTCTTTCGTCCAAAAGAGGCGCATTTCAATTTTCTCCCATTGACTTATAATGGGGAGGTCGCAAAATTGACCTGACCTTAGGTCACCGATATCAAAATTCCGAGATATACATTTTATAGATACTGTTACTCTTATCAATCGCTGAAAGTTTCAAAGCGATCGGTCACTCGGTGTAGCTATGACAGACATTGAAACTTTTTATGAGGTGAGGTCACTTCAAGTGACCTGGTGACCTGACCTTGAATGACCTTGGTCTGAAATTTTCACAACATGTGTAGAATTGATGTATGATAAGGTATACCAAAAACGGCGGCGCTCCGCGCCGCCGTTTTTGAGATATTCGCGAAAATTCACAAGGGGGGGGGGGTGTTCAAACACCCCCCCCCCCCAGCAGGGCGCGGGTTAAACATGAATTATGCTTACTACCAGCAGTTTGAACATTTAGAACGCTTTCCCACTTGGTGATTGATTCCTTTGCCTTACTGTTCCCGGTCTTGTCAGGTGATCGACTTGCTAAACCCGGTTCAGCCGGAGCCGGGCAAGCCGCCGCGGAGTCTGATGGTGCGTTGGAACAAGAAGAAGCGCGCCTTCTTCGTGGAGAACCTCTTCACCGTCGAGTGCGAGGAGCTCGACGACCTGCTGGCCGTGCTAGAGGAAGGTATGGTGAAACAAACGTTAGCTTATAAAATGGAGCTTTAACCATCTGATAGTTGATTTGATGGTTGTTGCCGGGATCCGAGAGGTCTTTATCGTTTAGACCATTTATTTCCTTAATTAGCTCTAAACGTTTCTAGCAAAGTTGAATTAATAAATAAAAATAAGCAGCTATTCATCGGCTTCCGTCAATGCGCAATCATTCGATAAAATGCTTCTAAATGGTGCTGCTGGTGGATCTATTAGAGTACCAGCTGCATTTTCGTCGCAGACACCCGCCAGTCATGACACCGTCGTCTGTCGCCAGCCCGACACCTTTTGTCGGCGTCCTCATTATACCGCGGCGTCCCCAGGCGATGTTTTTCCCAGATGTCTGCCACCCTGAGTCGGCAGGTGTTTGGCGGGTGTACAACAGTGCTGGAGGCGGGTCGATGGCGTTACCTACTGTCGCTGAACACTAACAGGGACTCCCATACACCGTGCACCGCGTCAACCGCCGTCCGTCTGCCCCCGCCCCCCTCGTCCCCCCTCCCCCTCCGCCGTCGCCGCCGTCGACTCGGCTGACCGGCTGCCCTATTATCGGCGTATCGAACAGCTCGCTCCGAGCGGTTTGCCGAACTGTGTCACAAACGCTCGACTCGTGGCCGTGTGCGGCTCGTCTGATGGTTATTTCAGAGCGCGATGACCGCGTCAAGGTCCCGTCGTGCCGTCACTCGTCGATATAGCGAGCGGCGCCCAGTCGGCCCGCGGGGTTTGACGGCCGGTTGACGGCCGGTTGGCGGGCCGAGTTGACGGTTCAGGCCCCGATGAGAGGTCTGGCGGCCACGGCCACCGCGGAGGTGGTCGTTTGGCGGCCGGCGACTGATGATGGACGCGTGTTTGGCAGGTTTGCGGAATCGAGCGGTGGCCAGCCACAACATGAACGAGTTTTCCAGCCGGAGTCACACCATTTTGACGGTGTACATTACTTCCGAACAAAAGGTGCGCACGAGCACGGGCAAACAATAATTAACGTGCCTCTATTTTAGGATACTCACACTAAGGCAAATATTGAAAACTATGATTTGATGAAAGAGTTGAAGTGAAATATCTGGCATACTGCAACGAAAACATCGAAACTGCTGCCAATGATTTATTGTCATTATTTAACCTTTCCTAGTCTTCCAGAATAGTTTTCTAAACAGATATCGCTCAATACAAGATTTTGTAACGAGATCCGCCCTCTTAGCTCTTGACTTGTGAGGTGAAAAAGTATAAAAGCTAAAATAAGATGCGAACCTCTTTCAAACTCTCCATTCGAATATGTGCACCAGGCCGCAGAGGACTCGGACGTGTACATTTCGAAGCTGGGCAAGCTCAACTTTGTCGACCTGGCCGGCAGCGAAATGACAAAGAAGACCAACAGCGAGGGCAAAACCCTGGAGGAGGCCAACAACATCAACAAGAGTCTCATGGTGCTGGGTGAGTGAAGAATGCATTACACTTTTCCAGAATGGCCGTCCACTGATAATCCATGGCTGTTTATTTGTTCCTTTTTCGGAATTACCTGCATGTGATTTCTGCAATCGATTATTCCATAGGTAAATTACCCGGGAAGTGGGTCATTTACATGAAGTTCTTTCAATGAAACAGATTGGATGCTACGCTTGATAAAGCACCGTATGGTAAAGTCGATGGAGGTAATGCATAAGTAAACCGATGATGAGGGTGCTCAGTAACCATTTTAATGACTTCACAACAAATATTGGAAGGCAAGAATATTGCGCTTGTATGAAAGACTGTCCAGGTTTCTGAGGGGCACAATCCACATGAGACACTCCAAGTGAATAACGTTTGCCTTGCAAACGGTCTGTGTCGATAGATATTTGTGTCGATAGATAGATATTTTCATAGCCACTATGAAAATACATTCCTTTTCCATTTTTCCAGTTTATATTTTCTAAATCGCGTTCATAAAAGAAAAGGTAGAATATGCTGTGGACACTATGCAGTATACAGGTCCATCCATCCTCACTTTTTACGTTACACCTCACGATGAATGTTAGGATGTGTGTTTCGTTGATGCATCGCATCTGCCTGCGGTGTAAACTGCTTTGACCTTCGCTTGAATCAATGCGTTACTTGGCTACCCGCACACCAACTTACATCACAACAAACGCAGACGGTCACTGGCACCGACCCAGGGCTCTATAATGCATAAGGTGGATTGGCCGAGGCAACGAAGTTGGCTTTGCGGTGCTTCAATTCCACCCAGCAATATATTCGCATGTAAAATTGGGCGTTTCATAGGCTGGTCTAGTTACATTACACTTAACTTGAAATAACCATTAATTGCAATGATTCTACTTCATTTGTAAAATTTTTTGCATCACCTAAATTCGCCACTAGAACATCACGTTAATTTTATTTCCGGGAATCTAATAAGAACTATAATATGCATGCTTAAAATACATAAGAATTTCTGCTCGAGGGTAAATTCCGTGACACTCCGGTCATTAATTGTTAGGTCATATAACGAGCTTTACAAAACGTATTAATGGCTCAACAATATACCAAAGTAAATGTGTACAAGAAACTTTTTCGTATAACAAGTAAGGATGGGCCGGTGTTCATTAGGTCTAAAGGCCTGGCTACACTATGCGTTTTCTGCGTGCGTTTTCTACGGGTTTGCGTTTTTTTTTTTTTTTGTAATATCGTTCTAGATAAAAGTTATAAATAACATAACTTTTACATTAGTTATAAACAAAAGTTAATATACAGGGTGGAAAGTAATTACGCGAACATACTTTTTCGTCTTATAGCAATGGAAAAAGCGGCGGTAACATGAAAATTTCATCTTTTCATATATTCCTATTTATGTGCGATACACTGACAAAGGCGTTCAGGCATAATTGACATGAGCATGTCAAGCACTGTTGGCCAAAGCTTAGTCCACGCCTCCTGGAGCTGTCTGGTGAGGCAATCGATGTTGGTGGCTACTAGCAGCTCTTAGACGCTCTCCTGAAGAGTCGCCTGGATATTTTTGATCAAATTGAGGTCTGGGCTATTCCCAGATTGACCATTATATGCCCAGAAGAAGAACGGGTTCTCAAAGCACCAGTCTTGCGTCTTTTTGGCCGTGAGAGGAAGGACTTTATCAATCATGAAGAAGAGTTTCTTTGCGTCGGGCACAAAAGTGCGCTCAATCATTTTGCCCCTTTTGGTGCATTGATGGATTAGATAAAGAGACTCGTCTGGAAGGATGTTCCACTAGTTGTATACTTTATTTTTGGTGGCCTTGTTGGTCACTACATGCAATTCTGACACCATCCGGGCGCTCATAACACGCTGATGTGTGTTCCTTTGCCGGATGTTTGAAGGTTGGGACGGGCGGGACGTCGGACGCATCAGCAGCCCCCAACGCGTTGTTCTGCAGGTTTGACGGATGAAATAGCTTCGAAGATGTCTCACCCAACCACAAAGCCAGCTGCCTGTCCTCCTCTGTTCAGGTTTGGCGGTCTTTAGAAAACTTAAATTGACAATCCTGCTGTTAATTCATGAATTTTGGCCATCTCGATTGTTTGTACGGCTTGATTTTCGAATTTTCGCGGATTTATGTATGAATCGTGATATCTTAGATCGGGTACCCGGCCAAAGTAAACCATTTCGCCTGTTTTCGGGTAGACTGTTGTCGTTTGGTCGCGGGAATGGTGACCACCCATTCGGCGCCTGAATTCGCCGAGGTTTTACTGCCGCCAACGGCTTTGCTTTTTAAGTCCTCTTAAGTTTTATTATGCTTCAACCAAAGGTGTAATTGAGTAATGCTGGTGCCGAGACCGTTCCGAGTCCCTTCCGCACCAATCCAGCCAAAATAATCACAAACGCTTTCCCTGGCAACTTCAAATTGAGCTCTTTGCCCATTTTGGTCTTGAGCAGCGTATGGCGTCAGCACCACTCGAAGCCGAGAGGTGTTGTAGACCTTCCAAGTCATTTTTCAAAGTAAGGTCACTTTTGTTAGATGAGGCGACAACAAACACGACCAGTCATGTTCCATAACAGCCCGCGCTCATACAAAATCTCCACTGACGGGCGAAATTGTAAGAAAATACATGTTCGCGTAATTACTTTCCACCCTGTATCTGTTATATCACCTAAATGTTAGGGTAAAAACATCTCAATCATACTATCGTTCTTTTTTCTAGAACGAAATCACGCAAAACACGCAAATCCACAAAAAAACGCACGCAGAAAACGCATAGAGTAGCCAGGCCTTAAGACTATTCTCAGCCGCCTGTTACCTATGGAGACCGTTCTGGGGCAGCTCTGTCCCCCGGCCAGCAGGCGAGAGTTGAGAGCGCGCTACCGTCGCGTGCGAAGGTCGCCCAGCCGTGATGTCAGAGAGCACGACAGAAGGTGATCGGGAGGCCAGAGAGCGATGGTCAATAGCGATGGATCCCCCATCGGTAGGGTGATTTGGGTCAAGGCCAGATATAAGTAAAGCCAATTCAATGTCAGATTCAACGTCGGATTTACGGTGTTTGTGAATAATAAAAGTAAGTTATTTAAAAGGGGAAGACTGGTCAGAAATTTGAATAAATTAATTCTGGCGCTGGTTGGCGTGATTACCCACGAATCAATTAGAGATTTCCATGACCAAGAGTCGCTCAAGGGAGTTGCTTAGGTCACATTTCCAAAACAAAACATCAGACTAGTTAAAATGGCGTGCTGCTGGCGTTACTGACAAGTGACAAAGTAGTTTGCTAGAAACATAAACAATTCAGCTAGATGACTCAGTACGAACTCATTCTTCACTGGTCATGCTGATATTTAATAGTTAACGACACGTAGCGTAAAACAAACCTAATCCAGTTACCGTCGTCTGCTCAAACATTGTGAAAAGTGAATCGCCAGCGACAGGTGCGGGGCGCGTCTCACGAAACCACTTCTGAGTTCTGACTTCTGACCCATTGTTTGCCGCTATTGATCGGAGGTGACGTGACTTGTCACGTGGTTTACAGAAGGTCCTGGTTTCAATAGGTCCAAACGACGGACGGTGCCCGGTGCCGGCCAGTCCCAGACTCGCCTTTACCGGGAACCGGAGCCGATTTGGTCTAATGGACATCGTCTGCCGCGGCTGGGCCCAGACATACACGAGGTCACGAAATCGGCCTCTTTGGCGCATCGTTAACTATTAAAGCTGATTGTTTTCAGGATTTGGCATGAGTTATGACAGTCTGATCCGCCATGCTACGGTGCATGCAGATGGCAGTTTCAAAGGAACGGAATGCTTCATGCGGGCATGACGCTGCCAATAAGGAGGATCGTTATTGATGATCGGCTCGGGCTCGTTTATCCTCGGATTGACGACATATTTTTAGAGGTCAGACTGGACCGCAATGATGCTGGTACAAATGCTACGCAGTCGAACTGGTAAAGGACAAGACATTACGTGTGTGAAGCAGATTGCAAAAAAGCAAAATAAACCGAGCGGCACTACCTATATTTCCACTGCAGAAACGAAGTCGTCCATACACGGAGGGGCATGATTTAAATAGCCAACTAGGTCACGATGATAAAAAATGCACCTATGATTATGAAGATAGAAATAGGGGAGAGTGGGGTAAGATGCCCCGGGTGGGAAAGACGCCCCACCCCCTCTAGCGGCGAAACAAAGAATCGAACCTGGAAATTAATGTTCTTAGCGTAAAGCGGAAGCCTGTCTTGTTAACTGCACAAAAATTTGCGAAGCTCAGTTGGGCAACGGCTGGCTGGTGATTGCATGTTTTTTATTTGCTGCTTTCAAAAAATATTTTGGTGTCAAAACATTGTAAATATCAAAGAAGGTAGATAATTTTTGCGTCCCTTGCTATAGTCGTGATACATTAACATGCGTGTATAGTGTGTCCCAAACAGTTTGTTTCAGGGTGTAGTTTTATGGCTTACAAATTGTACTGATTTAATGTTACTTCGGTCCCTTTGGGTAAGATGCCCCCTGTCCTGATGGGGAAAGACGCCCCCCTAAATCACTAGGCTGTCCTTCAAGCAGCCCGTCAAATCATTTATTACATACTTGTGATGAGAGACAAAAGCCGATTTGGGACTATTGAGAGTCCAGTACGGTCGGGTGCTCCCCCTGCCGGTCTCTCGGCCCACACAGCGACTTTTTGGGCGGCATCTGACTCTGAAAGCCCTCACGACGGCCTCTGTGGGCCCCATTATTGGCTCCAGGGCCCCTCACGACATCCTTTGAGGGCTCCCACGTTGGCTCCACGGGCCGCGCTGGCATCTGAGGTCCCCACGATGGGCTCGAGGGCCCTCAAGCAACATGAAGACCTATAAGGGCCCCACAGTGGTCTCCGAACGCCACCACGGAGGCTTGTTTGGCCGCGCTGGACTATGATGGCCCTAACGATGACCTCTGAAGCCCCTTTCGACTACTTTTGAGGGCCCTTGCGATGACGTTTGGTGTCTACTGCAGGCTC